ATTTTTATAAATCGTCGACAAATAAAAATTTGTGTAAAACTTATGATATTTACAAGAATTCACACAATTGTTGTACCATTTATTAAACCACTTTATATCGACCCCTATTGATGGGAGTGTAAGCGTTTTGCTGTAACGACAGAAAAAAGTATTAAAACCAATACAAAACAAACTCCACCACAAAAACACTCACCATTTTAACCATCTCTTCCTTAATAAGTCTAATGATTTCAGCCCTGGCTTTAGAAACGGACAGTTCGGTCGTGCCTTCAATAGCCAAATACAGTTTGCGTTCCCCGAGTTGTGGCTCTTTGCCGGACGGGAAGTAAGTTCCTCTCACTGTAATGCCGGCCTCGGAGTACTCGCTGATGAGCGCCAGCGCCTCTTTGGAGGTCACTTTCCAACGCGCCTGTTGTGGGAATTCATTGATCTCCAGCTCCTCTTCGAAGCGTTGGCCAATATTTTGGCCGATAGTGTCGTCGTCTTCCACTCGTCTGATGATATCTCCGTCTTCGTTGTACTCCACGTCTTTGGGCACGTAATTGAGTTTAGCGTGAAGTCGTTCGGCCACCTGTTCTGCCTTCGATTTGGCGGTGAATGCGTTCGAGAAACTCAGAGAACCGGCCAATTCTCCCTTCAGGAAGGCCTCCGTCTGCGAAGTGGCCTTTCCTGCAATATTCACACTGATTTTAGAGGCCATACGTTTGGCCATTTCCAGCTTCTCGGCCACCGTCTTGTCGCTGACCGAAGTGGCGGTCGGAGTGGCGGCACTCGTCGATGTCAACGACAAAATGGGCACCGATTTGGTCGACTTCTTGGGCGCCAACATATTCTCAATCTCCTGATCGATGTCGGCTTCGGGGTCCTCGTCGTCCGAGTCTTGCAGTCCGAGCGCCGCCTTCTGGAACTTCTTCTTCTCGTTGGTGAGCTGTGCCTCCGCCTCATCGAACTTAAAGCCCTTACCGCTAAATCCCGAAGAAGCCCTCACTTTCTTGCCAATCATTTCCTGTCCGAGTTTATAGCTCTCCCATAGGCTCTGGAGTTCGGCCGGCACTGCGATACCGCTCAACTCAAACGCTTTGATGAGGTCATTGGCATACCTTCCCTGTTCGGGAGTGATCAGAGTGTAGGCGTGACCCGAATTACCCGCTCTACCCGTTCGGCCGCATCGGTGGACGTAGTCTTCGTAATGATTAGGACAGTCATAGTTAATGACAACAATGCAATGCTTTACGTCGAGACCTCTGGCCGCCACCGAAGTGGCCACTAATACATTCACTTTGCCGTTCTTGAAGTCGACAATCGTCGAGTCCCTATCGTTTTGGTCGATCCCTCCGTGAAGTGCCAGACAGCTATACGAGGCGTGCATTAACTCCTTGAGCAACATATCGGCGTTTTCTTGTTTGTCCACAAATACAATAGCACTGCCTTCCACTGCAAACCGACCTATAGATCAAAACAATCACAAAATATTCATTAGATTTTTTGTCCGAAAAGAATGTCATTAAATGTCAAAAACAAACCTAAAATCTCTAATAAGCGGAGGAACTTCTCGTCCTCGTCGATGACAATCACATTCTGTTCCACTTCTTTGCAGACCACAGAACGGCCGCCGACTTGCACTTCAATGGGTTTGTCTAATATTCTTCGGGCCAACGCTTCCATAATGCGGGGAAAAGTGGCCGAAAACATGACGGTCTGTCTGTCGGGACGAATGCCGTCAATAATCCGCATCACTTGGGGTTCAAAACCCATGTCAAACATACGGTCCGCTTCGTCCAAAACACAGTACGTACAGCGCCTCAGATTCGTGACGCGACCCGAGTTGGCGGCCAACATATCGATCATACGGCCCGGAGTGCACACAACCACTTCGGCCCCCGGTTTCAGTTCTCCTATTTGTTCGGAAATAGGAGTTCCGCCGTAAACGGCAACCACTCGTAGATTAAGCGGTTTTGAAAAGCGTTTACATTCCGACCAAATCTGTGTCGCGAGCTCTCGGGTCGGCGTCATTATGACAGCGATGGGTCCGTCGCCCGACTCGAGCGGCGGCTGATCCATAATATGCCGCAACATTGGCAATAGAAATGCCAACGTTTTGCCCGAACCTGTTTTGGCGATACCAATCAGATCTCTGCCCGACATTATGGCTGGAATCGCCTGACATTGAATTGGTGTCGGCTTCTCGTAGTTATTCCTAAAAATAATAAAAACAATTACAATATCTGTTCAAAAATAACGCAAATAAAACAATTGATAATCACTTACTTCTTAAGCACTTCCAAAACTTTTTTACTGACCCCGCATTGCGCCCATGTTTTGATTGGTTTGGGGCAACCCTTGCCTTTGGCTTTAATGCCCTCCATTTCGGCTCTAAAGGCCTCCACTTCTTCGGGAGTCTGTTTCGCCAATTCTGGGACTTCGATGTAAAAGTTCTTTACGAAGGACTGGTATGTGATGTCGTCCTTCGAGATGGTCATCAACTTCTTCTGTTTAGCCTTATTCTGAAGAGAGTCCATAACATTCGCCAATTCGTCCTCTTTGTTGCCCTCGTCTTCCGAAGAGTACTCCAAAGCGTCCATATTTTGCTCAATGAGTTCGCCTTTGTTTTGTTGGACCGCTTTCTTAGCGATTCCCACCACAAGAGTTACTTTGTTGTCCTTTGCGTTAGATTTCACTGTTTTTGATCGCATTTTCTTCACCTCATCCTGAATTCCCTGCATATATGCGTCCAACGGATCGATATCGTCATCCGGTTCCGGCTCTGGAGGAATGATCTTCACTATAACGAGACAAAAGTCATTAATAAAAGAGTTGATACAAACAAAGTGCAAATACAAACAAACCTTCGGCTTTAACCGGCTTTTCAATCGGCTTAACCTTTAATTTACTCAACACTTCCTCAGTGTCATCGACGCGTTTAGGCGGCGGTTGAATCTCCGGCTCTTCGTCTTCCTCCAAATCCATGGCCACCACTTCGTTGTCTTCGTCCTCATTCTCGTCCTCCAGAGTCCACGTCTTCTTCACCTCCAGCTCTTCGGCGGTCTCTTCGGGTTTCACGTCTGTCTCGTCGGCTTCGGTGGACGCGTTGTTGACTCCCTTATGTGTTTGTCGCCACTTCTCGACCCTTTCCCTGCGCTCCTGCATCAGGACCTCTAACTTCCTCTGCTGTTCGTCTTTATCGAAGGTCTCGTAATTCACTTCAATAATGTCCTCCACTTTGCGGCGATCGTCGCGTTTGCGGTCATTGCGATCACCGCCTCCTCCGCCGCCACCGCTTCGTCGGGACCTCTCTCTGGGACTGCGG